CCAATCACATGACAGTGTTCCTTTGTAGCTGATCACGCGATTGGTTAATATAATATTCAACAACCTGAACTGACATTTCTGAAAGAAGAACTTGTTAAATACAAAATACATCTTGTGCTTTTCTCAATTAAACCGCATTAAAGAAAAATACAGCATTATTTTCGCTTTCAAAACTTAAATTTCAAGAACAAACACAATAAATTTTGGAAAATATCAATTATCCAGGTTTCCAAGCAAAATTCCCTGACTTTTCCAGGTTTTTTCAAGGTTTCCTAAAATTACCTGACATTTCCAGGTTTTCCAAGTTTCCAGGTTGCGTGGCAACCCTGATATCATTTGATGCTTGCTTTTAAATGACCGAGCACAAAAACTGTCAATTTAGAGGTTTAGCCAATCGTCGAAAATTATGTTAAAATCGGGTATATATCCCAGCTGAAAAATCTTGTACAAGATCGTTTACACGATCTTGCACAAGATCATGTACAGGAACATTGACCCAAACCTACACAAGATCAGCAAGTGAACTTGTACAAGAAATTGGAACAAAGAACATGAACAAGAACGTGTACAAGAACATGCACGTGTACATTCTTGAGTGGCTTTTGAGTTCGAGAACATCTATGCGAACATGCACCTGTTCATGCACGAACATGTGTTCTTGTGTGTATTAAAAAACCGTTGTTTCTAGGTTTAAAATTTAAGAAAATTTTAAGAAAATTTTTAGTTATAATCAAAAGAAATCTCTGACTGAAGTTGCAAAAAACTACTGCGCAGCTGTAAAACACTTAGAAAACTACTGCGCAGCCTTTAAAGTATTTGAATGATCATGCACATGAACATGAACCAGTCAAAGTTATACACACACGAACTTGTGCATGAACATGTGCATGTTGGCCTAGATGTTCTCGAACTCAAAAGCCACTCAAGAATGTACACGTTCTTGTTCATGTTCTTTGTTCGGGTCAGTGTTCCTGATGTACATGGTCTTGTGCAACATCGTGTACACGATCTTGTACAAGATTTTTCAGCTGGGATACGTATATAACCGACTTTCGAATCTTCTAGGGAGCAGTCCCAAGTGAACAGAAAACATAAAACCGAGAGTAGAAATTCATGAGTGCAAGAGAGATGGTCAGATAGCGCTATCTCTCTTGCACTTATGATTTTCTGTTTTCAAATTACGCTTTCTGCTCACATGGAACAATTCTCATTTTCTTTAAATTCAATTATTTTCCGAATTTTATCTAGTTAGAATTCTTCGAAAATATGATTTTATATCAATAGTATCTATATTAAGCAACAAGGGTACAAAGGCATCGAATTTGTTTACGATAATTTTTGTGACGCGAGTGGAGTTCGAGGGCGCCCTCCACCTCCACTCGTGTCACAAAAATCATCATAAACAAATTAGATGCCTTTATTCTCAAGTTACTTACGATATTTTTTATTCCTAATGCACAAAAGTGTCGATTTCAGATAGCAGACGACAGGGAGTAATAGTATATTAAGCAATAAGGGTCTGCTATCAGAAAGCGCCATTTTTGTGCATGTGGGATAAAAAATAATTTTTAAAGAGTTTAGTTCTAGGAGGCTAGTCAAAAATAAATTTTTTTTAAAATATTAAAAAAGAGACAAACTTTATAATATAAAAATCACATTTTGAAATAATATTCTTAATGTTATGACTAATAAATAATAAAAAATTAACAAAAATAGTAATAGTTTGAAGAAAATATATAGTGTTTCGTAGTTAGAGACGCGACGTGGCAACATTGTAGTTATTGCATGAACAGCTGATGCAGATTGCGATATGCTAATTTGTAAACTTGATTTTTGTTTGAATTTTTGCGCTACTTTAATAGTCAGTTTTTTGTTCGAGGCGGTCATTGGCACAGTCCAAACCTTAAGAAAAATACAAAGTTTGGACGACTATGTACCGAAAACCATACGATAAAAAATTCTCAGATTCACAAATAATGTGCATTAATATGTTAATTCATTTTCCTAAAATTTTCAAAAAAGTAAAGTAGGATGTCTATTCCTATTTTTTTGGGTCGCTAAAACCGAAAAAGACCATTTAAAATAAATTCGTTCGTCTATTTACCCCCCTAGGACCCCCTGGAGGGGTTGGAATTTCAATTTTCAGGAAAAGTCGAGTCTATTGTCTATTGCTATGTTTTTTGGATCGCTGAAACCGAAAATAACCACCAAAAATAAATCCCCCCCCCTCCTTCACCCTCTAGCTGAAAAGTCGTGTGGGGTTGTGTGTGTATACTTTTCATAAAACCAAAAATTTCAACCCCCCACTACCCGTGTGGAAAATACGACGAGGCATTGGGGAGGCCCTAGCCAATCTTCCTTAAGAATCAAAAGGCACTGGCGAGTTAGGAGACCGTAATTATACTGGCGAGTATCTAGCAAGGCTGTAATGCTGTTTCTGGAGATTGCCTTTAATAGGGTCAACTGCCCAGTGCCTTGTATTTTTCTGGTCATTGCCTTGTTTTTTTCTGGCCAATGCCTCGTCTTTTCCTAGCTAGTACCTTGTATTTTTCTGTCCAATATTTTATTATTTTCTGACTAGTGCCTTGCTTATTTCTTGTAATTGCTTTTATTGTTTATCGTGAATGCCTTTATATTAAAAAAAAATTATTTCAGTTTAAAAATTCAATTAAAATGTAATATTATGTAATACCCTATTTATCTTTTGCAATTAATAAGACTAAAATTTTTTATGCAAACAAAATTATTTCAATATAAATTGGAATGTAATAAATAAATTAAAAAAAAATTTAAGTTAAATCCAGATCATTGGAAATATTTATTTTTTTAATTTATTGTTTTGAAGCTGGAAGAACTACACACTCACACACAGTATTACATTTTATTTTTTATTTAAATCGTAACTTAACTTTCTTAAATCTATGCCTATATCGAGAAAGTTTCTAACGCAAGGATTCGAACACCTAACTATATATCGCAAACGCTGGTTTTGATGACGTAGGGGATGCAAGGGAAACGCTTTAAACCGCTCGACCATTTCGGAGGTCGGAGAGTCATCGCTTAGAGAAATATTACATTCCAAAAGCAGAGGAAATACTCTCTATCTCTCTCACTTATTGCAATCGAAATAGGTACGTTAGAAAAAATCGAAAGATACCTAGAACCCCTGCTGTTCAGGTTTGCTTTTACTCGCTCATTATATGTTTGGGGAATTCCCATAAGTTGTTTTTACAGGATGTTTTCACTTTTATCCATTTATTTTGAAAGCATAATTATTTGTACACAGTAATAATTATAAAACTTACAACAAATACAGGGATAAATGAACAGAAAAGAAAAAAAAAAAATTCGCACTGACACATACCTAACCTAACCTACGGGTACAAGGCGTTTAAAAGAATTTCTCGTGAGTGCCTTAACTGCGACTATAACGAGAAAATTTAAATGTCATTCACCAGTAATATTGTCCAAAGCTCTAAATAAGCCTTGGATAAAAAGTTCTGTACGAAATTCACGAGTAATACTGTCGAAAACCCTTTTTAAGTCATTCTCCAGGAATTCTATATTAGCAAAAGTCCTTTTTAAGGCTTTCGCCAAAAATTCTAAATGGCATTCAGGAGTGACTCTGGTGAAAGCCTTCTTTAAGGCTTTCGCCATTACATATTTTTATATGGCATATACAAGTGATTCTGGTGATAGCCCTTTTAAAGACTTTCGTCAGAAATTCTATTTGGCATTCACGAGTGATTCTGACGAAAGCCTTACTTAAGGTTAAGGCCAGAAATTCTATATGGCATTCACGAGGGATTCTTGAAAAAGCCTTACTTAAGGTTAAAGCCAGAAATTCTATATGGCATTCACGAGGGATTCTTGAAAAAGCCTTACTTAAGGTTAAAGCCAGAAATTCTATATGGCATTCACGAGGGATTCTTGAAAAAGCCTTACTTAAGGTTAAGGCCAGAATTTCTGTAAGGCATACACGAGGGATTCTTGAAAAAGCCTTACTTAAGGTTAAGGCCAGAATTTCTGTAAGGCATACACGAGGGATTCTGGGAAAAGCCCTATTTAAGGCTAAGGACAGAATTTCTGTAAGGCATTCACGAGTAATGCTGGTTAAAACCTTATTTAGGGCTACAACTAGATATTCTGGGGAATGCCTTATATTTTAAAAAGGCGTTTGCAAGTTATGCTCTAAATTGCCCTAAATAAGGGTTTCGTCAGTATTATTGGTAAATACCTTGTAAAAAAATTTTTAAATAATACTTTTATTGTAATATAAATATATTTGTAATAACTATTACATAAATAAAAGTTTATAAAAAGTTAAATATTCTTAAATTTTGTTCAATCGAGAAAAACTGGCCAGGGCCTTTCTAATCCCTTGTTTACAACAAGGCTAAACAAGGCTAAACAAGGCAATTTCCACACGGGTAGGGGTAGTATAGCAGTGCTAGAGGGTTAGGGAGGAGACGAATTTATTTTGGATGGTTTTTTCAGATTTATCGACCCAGAAAACATAGAAATAGACATCCTACAACACTTTTTTTGAAAACTAAAATGCCAACCCCCTCACTCCTGTGAGGAGGTTTAACCCTTTACCCAAATGTACAAAATTTTGGCATGAAGTTTGAGGACTTATTTCGGTACTTAAAAATCAATAGAAAAATCCATCAATCATCATTTCTTATGTTTTTATATGCGTTCTATCGAATAGCGTTATAAAAAAATCAAAAATTGATAAGCTTAAATATTATAAATATATAAGCTCTAATTGATTTGTGTAGAACTATATGGTGGTGACGTATGTGGTGGTCCCGTATACATTACAATGGGAACGCGTGACCACTGAATAACATGTGCTTAAGATTACCTGAAGCTCACATGCTAACTTAGTGATAAGAGAAAACAAGTATTTCAAAGTCTAATAGCGAAATAACATAAATGATAAAAGTTACATTAGCATCTAAAAACAATTTATTAATATATTTTTAATTTTTCAGATGGCGTCAGCTTTAGAGACTCCTCTTCTTAGAGTAAATCAAGCTCGAAGTGCAGATTTATCTTCAGTTTCCCAATATTATAGTAGGGAATTAGAAAGTTTTGCTCGACAAGTTTTACAAATTATTCCTGAAACAGTTTTCGGTATTTTGGCTGAAATCGTGCATCTCGAAACAAACTTTTTCACTGACATTCCAACAAAATTGTACAAGGATAAAATCAAAGATTATGGACAGTTGAATGAAAGACTAAAGGTATTTTAAACAATTTTAAAGAACTTATTTCAAAATGGCAAATTTTTTCATAAAAGGGTCCATTCACAAATTACGTGATATATTTAGAGGTGGGCGGGTTAAGTTTTCTTAACCCCAGCTCCCGCCGAAAAGCCGTTATCGGCGCGAAGTGAAAGAACAATAGTCCAAAATAGCGTGACGTAATTTATGAACGGCCTTAGACGTTTTCCGAATTTTAAAAAAACCTTTTAAAGCAAAATAGCAGCCATTTAAAAAAATCATTTTGTTATGCTCTTTTTCGCGCTTTAACGTTAACATCAAAAATTTATAATAATTATAAAAAATACTCCGTCAGGGCTTCACAAATTTAATTATACCTTTAAGCGGTTAAATCAAGTTAGACAGCCGAAAAAAGTCGATATTTTAGGAATTTTTTCTGAGAAAACTATTGAGTATTTCAATTTAAAAATTAATGCACATATAAAGGGTACTTTGAATATAAAGGGTACTTTGAATTTTTTTTAAACTTCTATAAAGAATTTGCTGGAGCTTCTTCGAAGCGAAGCATCTTGCGGTGAGCAGGATATTTCTGGACTGGATCATCTGAAATGAAAAAACCAAAATTTTTTCGTTAATATAATATATTACCTATCTGTAATTAATTTTACCCTGTCCCATAACTTTCATCTTAATTTAAAAATATATTTATGTTTTGAATAATAAACATTTAGATTTTTATCGCTTGCAAATACATACATATAATTATCATTGAAAATATTTAACCTTAAATCATCTTCGATTTTATTTTATTAAAAAATGTCTGAATTTATTATTATAAATTGATAAAAGCAAACATTAAATTATTTTCATAAATAATAAAAATTTCACAGGAGTTCAACTATTTACAAAATTTTTTATAAATTTCTTCGCAATAATTCAGTTATTTTCATAAATTATATTTTTTTAAAAAAATTCAATTATTTTAATGAATAATAAAACTCATCATAGATTTCAATTTTTTATTACAATTTTAATTTAATTTCTCGAAAAAATTAATTATTCTTGAAAATTTTATTAAAATTCCTCGAAAAAATTCAATTTTGTTGATAAAATTCTTTATGATAATTCAATTTCGAGAAACATTTATTTATTCAATAAATTATTTATTTTTATATTTAAATCGTGCATCTCGAAACAAACTTTTTCACTGACATTCCAACAAAATTGTACAAGGATAAAATCAAAGATTATGGACAGTTGAATGAAAGACTAAAGGTATTTTAAACAATTTTAAAGAACTTATTTCAAAATGGCAAATTTAAATTTAAATTTAAATTTTTTTTTTTTTTTTTTCTTGTAGAATTTTTCAATAAAAATTGATTTAAAAATGAATATCAGTTAAAATTTTAGATATAATTGAATATTAAAAGCATTATGGCATGAATTTTTAAAAATAATTTATAATTGAATTCTTTTGAAGAATTTTAATCAAATTTTTGAAAATAATTACATTTTTCGAAGAATTTACTTAAAATTGTATAAAAAATAATTGAAATCCTGTGAAGAATTTTATTTATTTAATCAAAGTAATTGAATTCTTGCAATGAATTATTTCAAATTTTTCTTTAAATAATTGAAATAATGTAAAGAATCTTACCTATTATTTATGAAAATAATTGAATTCCTGCAATGAATTTTATTACATTTTTTTTAATAATTGCATTCTTTTAAGAACTTTTATTAAAATAGTAGATTTTGAAAATATTTGAATTTCAACGAAGAATTTCATTATATTCGTGAAATGTAATTAAATTCTTGCAACAAAATTTTTGAAGATAATTTCATTTTTCGAGAAATTTATTAAAAATTGTATTAAAAATAATTGAAATCCTGTGAAAAATTTTATTATTTATGAAAATAATTGAATTCGTGCAACGAATTTTATTATACCTAATGTTTGTAAATAATTTAACTTTTTCGAAATATTTTATATTCCGAGTCGAAGACTCGGAGTGATTGGTATCTTTATGTTTTATAATGGAGCTCTCACAGCTCTGCCTGCCTGCGCAGGCAGTAATTGGAGTAAGAGAGAAAATCAATTAGAGTGAAAGAGACAGTAAATTCAAATTTATATGCTGCCTACTAGCTGTGAGAGCGCCTTAATAATATTCTTATATAAGTTGTTGAATTTTAAAAATGTTTGAATTTGAATGTTTTGAAGAATTTTAATTTCTACGGGAAAATAATAATTAAATGCACGGAAAGAAAAAGTCCGTCAATCATTAATAGACTACTATCGGTTCAAAAAGTATAGTCAATTGACTTTGAAGGCTTGTAACTTGAATAAAAAAAATCGCACAATATTGAAACTGTATGGAATCAGTAAGTAATTTATTTCTACATTAATGTAAAAAATTAAAAACAAATAAAAATTTTTTTCTTAAGGGGATGTCAAAGTCGATGCGATTTTCCCATTGAAGCTCAATGCAAAAATCCAATCGACTTTGACATCCCCTTAAAGTTATTAATTTTTGAAGGGAAAAAGAACATGTTTTTTGACACTATTTTCAATAAGGCCTACTTTGGTAACATATAACTCGTTTAATGAAAGTCCTATGATGTTCCTGATTTTTTTCTATGTTCCTTAAATCTTTCTGAATAATGTTATTTAAACAAATAACCGTTATTTTAATAACTTTTTGAGATTATTAAACGAAACCGTAGTTGTGTTATCTTTGTTGGAAATTAAGGTACGAAGATGAGACAAAGCATACGTTACGGAAAATACGACACTGCTTACGATTCGCCAAAGAAATTTTGGAAAAAAAATTATTTTAAGTAATTATTTGCAAAAGTATTTTCAGTTTTTTGCTTTATTGCACCATTAGCAGTCAGGTGCATACTACTGTAAGTCTTTTTGTCCGAGACTCCAAGTTTAGCACTACTACCTTTTTTTTGGTCATTTTTTTCTGTGGTTGAAACTGATTTATAACTTTAAAGATCTGGTTTCTAAGGATGTACAGAGGTGTAAACACCCAAAATATTTTTCCTGTCTTAAGAAATTCAAAATTTTATGTAGGTTTGGGTAGAAGTGACCTGAAGTCCTCACTTACCTGCTCATGTCTACAATAATACAGTTTATCGCATTTAAAATGTTGACGCCTATGAGAAATGGTTTATGATTGTGTGCACCTTACCGCTAATGGTGCAGTAAAGCAAAAAGCTGAAAATAGTTTTGCAAATAACTTCTTGAAATAATTTTTTTTCCAAACTTTTGTTGATGAATCGTAATAAGTGTCGTATTCTCCGTAACGTGTACTTTGTCTCATCTTTGTACCTTAATTTCCAACAAAGATAACATGACTACTATTTCGTTTAAATATCTCACAAAGTTATTATAATAACGGTTATTTGTTTAAATAACATTATTCAGAAAGATTTATGGAACATAGAAAAAAATCAGGAACATCATAGGACTCTTATTAAACGAGTTACATGTTACCAAAGTAGACCCTGTGAAAATGATGCCAAAAAACATGTTCTTTTTCCCTTCAAAAATTAATAACTCTCGAAATAATTTTTTTGTATTTCATTCATTTTCTACAGTAACGTAGAAATGTTGTAGCTACTGATTCCAAGTTGTTTCAATATTATGCGATTTTTATTACTCAAGATATAAGCGGTCAAAGCCAACTGACTTTACATTTTACACCGATAGTAGTATATTACTTTAAGATGGGATAGGCCAGTCGGTGAGTGCAAAAAGTGCACATAAGTGCAACATGAAAAGTCGAAGCAGTTTCTTGTAGTTTGAGGGCCCCAAATAAAAGCCCCATAGTTTGCACCACATTTCCGGTTGCGAAAAATGGTGTAAACAATCGCCAAAGTTCGAAAAACATGGTTTTTCTATGACTGTTGCTTCCGGTTAAATTTTAGGGGAAAAAGTTGTGATTGAAAGTTATAGAGCTTGGAAATATCTTTCAAATGATTGGTCGCAAGTTAAAAAAGCTTAATTAGTTTAGTTGCAAATGAATTTAAACCATTAAAAATAGCACTTTTTTAATTGTTTAATAACTTTGTTAATAATTATCGAATTTGTTTCTAACTTCCCAGAAATATTCCCCTTGCGAGGCTGAATAAATCCCAAAAAAATTCAACTTGATCGGGTAAATAGTTTATGCATAATTCCATTTGTTAACTAAAAACATGTAATTTTTCAACGGAATTTCCCCACTTTTGGACCTGCGAATTTCGTTTTTTTTTCTTGGAGAGTACAGTTAAGGAGTCTAACTTTAGTTCCATTTAAATGGGAAATTGATTTTTTTTATTTAAGTGCATAGTAATAGACGTTAAAAAACGGTATGTTTTTTTGACATAAACAAATGGAATAACTCAGCCAATTTTCACTTTATCGATTTCGTGTCAAGGGCATTTGATTTTATTTGTTTTCACAAAACTTTTCCAAAAAAAAATCCGATCTAACTTCAAGAGGTGGAGAGTTAACTTTTTTTTAAAAAAAAATTCCTGACAAGTTAATTATTAATGTTTTTTATTGAAATTCGCACCACTTACAGTTTGATACATGTATTTTATGTAAAAAAATTAAACATAAGGTTTTGTGCATTTTTTTAAAATTTATAACAAGTAAAAGTAAATGTATCCATTTTTCAACCTCTGAACGGCGGAGTGGGGGTACCCGGAGGAGCGTGATTCTCGCCGCCACAACTGAATTCAGCCGTTCAAATTTGCAAAAATGGTCATAACTTCGTTAATTATTTACCGATTTTATCTTTCTTTTTTTAATTTGATGTATTTTTTTACGCCGAATCCAAAAATGATTTTATATGTTTTCAAAATACAATATTTTTAATAATAAAAAAGAAAAAATTTTTAACAACAAATTTTTAATTATTATTTATCATATTTGACAAAAAATTCTTTTCGTACATATAATTCCATTGAATTTAAAATAATATTATGACATAAAAAAATTAAAATTAATTATATATAAGCTTGTAGCATCAGGTTCACATATGCACGCCTGTTCAACTATCAATACAACAATGCTACACACTTATAAGTAAATAATTTTATTTTTTTTATGTCATAATATTATTTTAAATTTAATGGAATTATATGTACGAAAAGAATTTTTTGTCAAATATGATAAATAATAATTAAAAATTTGTTGTTAAAAAAAATTTTCTTTTTTATTATTAAAAATATTGTATTTTGAAAACATATAAAATTATTTTTGGATTCAGCGTAAAAAAATACATCGAATTAAAAAAAGAAAGATAAAAATCGGTAAATAATTAACGAAGTTATGACCATTTTTGGTAGAAAGCGGGATTCATTCAAGCTCTTTGTATATTCGATTGAATTCGATTTAATTTGCTTGAAGTTGTGCAAACGAATTCGCATTCGTAAGAAATGACCAAGGCATGCATTGAATTCGTGCTGACGAATTAAAAAAAATTAAAGGCCCCAAAACTTGTCCATTGAATTAGTAAGAATAGAAGGTTTGGAAGTTCAATACAGTTTGACGAATTCAGGAAAATTGCAACATAGCTCCAATTCGTATTTGTCACAAACCGGGATTCACTAAAACTCTTTGTGAATTCCTTTTAATTTATTTCAATTAGTTTTTGTTTACTGGGTAGTTTCATAATTAATTAATAACATTTCACAAAAGAATTAAATTATTATAAGAAATTTTGATAAAACTCTTTATAAAAATTTAAATATTTTAAATATTATTCTAATTAAATTTTGCGAAAGAATAAACTTTTTTAAAAGATTTTATTTTAATTTTTCGCAAAAAATTTAATTATTTTGAAAATTTTGGATTTATTTTTTTGTAAAAATTAAATTATTGCAGGTTAAAAATTATAAAATTAAGTAAGAAATAACGCATAAGGAATATTTTTAATTGACAAAAATTTTGTTTAATTGCTTTTCTAATATTGAAAGCATTTTATTAAACATTAGAATTTTCATTAATTTTAAATATTAAAATATTAAAAAGAATAATTAATTATAAAAAAAATCTGTCCGCGCAAGCGCGGACACATTCTCTTCCGCGCTTCGCGCTCCGTTTGATGTTGCGCGCTTCGCGCGCAATTGGCTCACGGTGTTCTGAAATTGTTTTGCTTTATTTGTGTTCTTGTTATTATTTCCTATTATATGTTTAATAAAATATTTTTTTTCTTAAAGTTACTGGGTCAAACCATTTTATTTCGCCTAATGTATTTTTGATCTTTATAAAAAATTTC